CTCTGTGGATCAGATCTGACCACTGCACACACCAAATTTCAGTCAATAGCATCACACGGGGAAGAATCTGTATAAAGGCTAAACACGCAGCATACACTGACTATTGATAGGCCACTCTGAGACTAGCATAGGGATGTGCTATTTGAGAGAGGGGGGGGGGGAAACCTAGCCTAAGCCCCCTTGAGATTCTGGAACAAGCTTTATTGTCCTTTGAATCTTGCGCTTCTCTCTAGAGTGAAGCCACAATGGCATAATTCCACAGCATGTGGGAAACATTAGCCTGTGAAGTCTCACATTGTCAGCATAAAGGGTACAGAGCCATCTTCACCCTCATCCCATGAGATGTGCTGGGATCTTGTACATCTGCTGCCATAAGAACTAAGACACATAAGAACTAGAATCCAGAATCCTGTTCTCACAGTGGCCACAAGGAGGACCTGAGGGCAACAGCTTTCTCTTCGCTTTTTATTTCTAGCAACTGGGTATTCAGAGACATAACCACCTCTTACTGTGGAGGCAGAAAAGAGCCATCATGGTTAGTATTATGAGGGAGGGTGAAAAAAATCATCTCCCTATCTGCTTTTTCCACACCATGTATAATTCTATACACCTCTATCATGCCTGATCCGCAGCACATTTCTTAAGCACCCTCACCAGGCATTTCACATATCTTTACTTCCGAAATACAGTTGGTGGAGAGGCCTAGAAGAGCGGGTTTTGGGGGGGGGGTCAAATTTAATTATGATGACATTTATAGAGGAAACTTATTCAGTGGCCTGGAGAAAAGGAAATGCAGAGACATAGGCTGCAACTGCTTCCAAAAGCAGGTAATAAGATATAATAATAACATTACTGATAAGTGTATTTCAGCCCCAAGGCACTGTCTGGTTTATGCCACATACTTATTGGAATTCTGGCAGCCATTAAATGCAGTGGGTTCTGATACAGGGTGCCAGAAGTGTTTAAAAGAAGAGTTGAAGCAGCCCTTAATGACACTTGAAGATAGGAAATTAGGAGAATAATATATATTCAGGACGGGGCTGCTCTGCTTAAGAAAGAACAGAATACTTGTGCCTTTTTAAGCTCTACAGATAGAAGAGGTCTGGCAGGTGAGCAAATGTCTGCTGCAGCAATGAAAAAATAACATCTGGAGAATACAGCTCCCACTGGCTACTAGCTATGATAGTGATGTTCTGCCACAATTGTCAGAGGCAGTATGCTACCTTGAGGACTTCCCATAGGCATCTGGTTGGCCACTGTGAGAAAAGGATGATGGACTAGATGGGTCTTTGATCTGGTCCAGCAGGGCTCTTATGATCTGATGCCTGCCAAAATTTTGCCTTTTTTGCTCATAAAACCGAATCTAAGGCTTGCTTACTTATGACACCATTACTCAACATGATTGCCTCCAGGTGCAGCTCCTACAATCCTATATCATTGGCTAAGCTTGCTGGGGCTGATGGGTGTTAGGCATCCTAACAACGTCTAGAGGGTTGGAGTTAGGTTGGAGAAAGCGGACTGGTACGTTTCACTATGTTCACACGTGCTTACTCCCGTGTGAGTGTGCACAACACGGCAGGCTTTGTCTGTTTGGTAACTCTATTCAAAGGCCACCCCCCTTGCACTTTACACCCTCTTAAGCGAGCTCATGACCTTATAGAACAGGCTTCCTCAACCTCGGTCCTCTATATGTTTTTGGCCTACAACTCCCATGATCCCTAGCTAGCAGGACCAGTGGTCAGGGATGCTGGGAATTGTGGTCTGGAGGGCTGAGATTAAGGAAGCCTGTTATAGAAGTACAAAGAGATGGCAGGTAGCCTGATGGGATCTCCAAATTTGGCCTCTGCTACACAGAAAAAGAAATAGGAGCACTAATGGGGTCAAAACATAAGGAGCAAGTCAATATATGCTTAGCAGTGCAAGATAAATGGAAGAGATATAATTAATTACGAGTCATTCTGACCAGCAACAAAAAGGCAACTCTTGTAAACAGCTGCTAGAGAAGAGCAGAATGGCAATATCAGCAGGAAACGCATGAGAGAAGTGATTGTGGAAAACTCTAAATAAATAAATGGATTATTGAACCATGTAAACATATTATTAAAGGAAATGTTTGGTTCAAAAAAGAAAGAAAGTGTTTTCTTACTGATCACTAATCTCTGGACACTGCTGTTCCTCCTCAAATGTCTAAAAACTTATTAGCTGCTCCTTCACTGAGAAGACAAGCTGAATCTGGCCTCCATGAGTAAAGAGTGAGGCTCCCTCACGACTCACTGCCATCTTTCTTAACTGAAGTGAAGTGAATTGAAGGAGAAATGATTTAAACTTGAATTTAGTATTGAAAGGAGGAGGCAGAAGTGCTTTGGAGAGCAGGAACGATGGCAGCACTCCAGTTCCTCAAAACAACACAACGCACACAAGAAGAGTATTAAAAAGGGGGAAATAGAAATAAGTATCTATTTTAAAACTACAGACCCTCAAGGGAGATAATTATTTATCTATTTACCTAGCTATCTATTTAAAAACTATAGATGCTCCTGATGTTGGAAAACTAAAAGTTGAAAGGTAATGGCTGGGTGCACAGATGTTGTCCCCCTCCCCTAGATAGATCATGGTTTAACATGCTTGGGAAACTGAGGCTACAGTGCAAATGGCACGTTTGCCTCATGGTGATTGTTAACCACCCTGTTCAGTTTTATTTTTGGAGCTGATGAGGAAGCAGAATTTCTAGCACAGTAAGACTACTATAAACCCAAAAGTAGCTATCAAGGAGTTAATGAAGACATTAAGTTGAAATGGTTCCACAGAGAAAACAGCATCCCATGAGCTCTACAGCTTGTGATATAGTTTGCCCATTGTTTTTAAAGGAACAGCTGAGTGAACCACTTATGATAGGATGATGTGGACAATTATGGGTGCTTTGTAGTTACTTTAGCTCAGGCTTCCTCAACCTTGGCCCTCTAGATGTTTGAGACCACAATTCCCATCATCCCTGACCACTGGTCCTGCTAGCTAGGGATCATGGGAGTTGTAGGCCAAAAACATCTGGAGGGCTGAGGTTGAGGAAGCCTGGTTTAGCTGACATCTCTTTGGGATCACTCAAGGAGACATATTTTCCTTATTTGCTAATTATGAATATTTAGGAAGTTGTTTTAGAACAGGTTGGGCTATTTGTTCATCTATCCCCATATTGTCTACTCTGACTAGCAGTGGTGCCTAATTATTTCAGCTGGAGATGCCTGGAATTGAATTTGAGATCAGGTACACTTAACCACGCTATGGGTTAAACCACAGAGCCTAGGACTTGCCGATCATAAGGTTGGCGGTTCGAATCCCTGCGATGGGGTGAGCTCCCGTTGCTCGGTCCCTGCTCTTGCCAACCTAGCAGTTCGAAAGCACATCAAAGTGCAAGTAGATAAATAGGTACCGCTCCGGCAGGAAAGCAAACGGCATTTCTGTGTGCTGCTCTGGTTCGCACATGCTGGCCACATGACCCAGAAGCTGTACGCCGGCTCCCTCGGCCAATAAAGCGAGATGAGCGCCGCAACCCCAGAGTCATCCGCAACTGGACCTAACGGTCACGGGTCCCTTTACCTTTACACTTAATCATGCTTCCTTCCATGGGCATAGCCAAGGGGGGGTGGCAGCTGCCCTCCAAGTCAATAAAAATAAATACTAATCAATACAAATCTGAGGTTCTGCCCCTCAAAAAACCTCTCCCCTCAAAAAACCCCTGCTCCACCAACAAAAATCCTGGCTACACCCATGCTTCCTCCCCATAGAGAAATATGTTTAGAGACTGAACCTGGTATAGCCTGTTTTGCCACTGAAACATCAACTCTTTTGCACAACAATTATGTTATCCAACTGTGCCCTACACTATAGGCCTGTCTCCATGTTAGATGTTTGACGTCCTTTGTACAGTTGTGCACTTTTCCCTGTCAAGACCTGTGCTTAGAGTCTACATGAACTGTGTGCCAGATATCAGTCTTACGTTTCCAGCATATTTCTGACATATAGATCAATAGTCTATTCATAATTTGCAGCTTTCCCTTGGTGTTCTGCTGACGTCATGAAATGAAATTGACTTTTCTTTTTCCGATAAATAATTTAGGCAGGAGCAAGTGGCTCATTTATTTTTTTTTGATGTGTGACATACAACCTCAAGTTTTACTTTTTCAATTAAAAAAAAGTGGTTTACTTGAAGGTGTAAGAGTCTATAAATTCTGTAAAGCTTATGATAGTTTATCACAGTGCTGGGCTGCTGTAGATCACTGTACAGAAGGTGTTTGCATCAAGGATAAAAAAAGGTAAAGTTTACGTGAAGAGCTGATTAGACATAGCTTAGACGTGCTCTTCTTCTTCTGCTCTGTTTGCTTTGGAACATTATGTACTAATAACAGAGCTTACCAGTTTAAATCTCCACTAATGAACCCCATTCTAGATTTCACAGATTATTGGGTACGTGGGCTACAGTCCATAAATATTCCTTTAAAAACAACACCTCAGTCCAAGTAGAGCTGAGGAAGGAAACTCTGTCACATGTATTCCTGACTGACTGGGGATGGGTTCTGCATGCGTGACTCCCCAACCCAGTCTATCAGTTGGAATACAGAAACACAGGAAGCTGCTTTCTGCTTCGACTTGCCCCACCACTTTCTCCTGCAAAAACCCACTGTTTACTGCTAAATCAGAACAAATGTCCCTCGGGTTTCCTGTAGATTGACTTTTGTTCTAATTCAGTGAGTTTTCCTGGTGGTACAAGCGAAAAACCTCTTGGCATGGGACAAGTGGAAGTGTAGATGAACCCTGAATCAGACCACTGGTCCATGTAGCTCAGTTCTCTGTACACTGACTGGCAGTGACTCTTTAGAGTGTCAGGCACTGAGTGACTTAGGGCCAGTTACTACTTCTCAGCCAGACCTATCTCACAAGGTGAGAATAAAATGAGTCATAGAGGTTTTTCGGCCTTGGACGCCATCTTCCAGTAATCCATCAAGATGACCAACACCAAGGGGAAGAGGAGAGGGACACGTTACATGTTCTCAAGACGCTTTTGCAAACATGATGTCGTCCCTCTTGCCACCCACATGCACATCTATAAGAAGGGTGATATTGTTGATATAAAAGGCATGGGCACAATTCAGAAAGGCATGCCCTACAAATGTTACTATGGCAAGACAGGAAGGGTATACAACATCACCCAGCATGCTGTGGGGATTATTGTGAACAAGAAGCTTAAGGGCAAGATTCTGGCCAAGAGAATCAGTGTGCAAATTGAGCATATTAAGCACTCAAAGAGCAGAGACAGCTTCTTGCAGCGTGTGAAAGAAAATGAAAGAAAAATGAAGGAAAGGAAAAGGGAATTTGGTTTGAATGAAAATGCCAGCCTGCTCCTCCTAGAGAAGCTCACTTTGTGAGAATCAACGGCAAGGAGCCAGAGCTGCTGGAACTAATTCCATATGAGTTTATGGCATAGTTTATATGAACAAAATAAAATACAGTGGTACCTCGGGTTAAGAACTTAATTCGTTCCGGAGGTCCGTTCTTAATCTGAAACTGTTCTTAACCTGAAGCACCACTTTAGCTAATGGGGCCTCCCACTGCTGCCACGCCGCTGGAGCAAGATTTCTGTTCTCATCCTGAAGCAAAGTTCTTAACCCGAGGTAATATTTCTGGGTTAGCGGAGTCTGTAACCTGAAGCGTATGCAACCTGAAGCGTATGTAACCCGAGGTACCACTGTACCATGTTGAGGACCTAAAAAAAAGGGGGGGGTCATAGAAAACCATGTGCTCTACCTTGAGCTCCTTGGAGGAAAAGGAGGGATATACAGTAAATACAATCAATCAATCAACCAACCAACCAATCAATCTCTCCTAGCCCTACCTAGAGATTGAACCGGGAACCTTCCATATGCAAAGCAGATGTTCTACTGCTGACTTATGGGCCTTCCTTGACTGAGCTACGGTCTTTCCCTTCCATTGGGTTGCGAACATGTAGCTTTGTCAACCGAACCAGTATTATGCAGAATAGTATGAGGAGCAGCTGGATGGATATGGTCTCCCATACTTTCAAAAGTAGATTTGGGCTTCCATACCTCCATCTCCTTTCCAAGCAGCTGTATTACACTTACACACAGCTGCATCAGGGCACAGCTATTTCAGAATACATACCAACATCTCCATGACCATAAGCATTTTTCTTCCATGTCAAAAAGGGATGTGCGCTGCACAGGGTCGTGGCAATGGCACCACCAAGTCTCTCAGCAATAATATGAGCCTGTCTTGTCAAGCTCTCTGCAAGGCTGAGTGATTTCCAAGTCTCCCCTTCTGCTCCACTATATCTCTCTCTCTACACGATACAGTTTTGTTGTGACCTGAGGGCTTATTTGCTGTTCAATGAGCAGTACCACATCACACAACCACCCGCTGTTACATATCCATCCTCTTATCCAGCTCCTTCCCCAGAAGAAAAATTCTGCATGGTGCCACCCTTGTGGTCAAAATAATAGCTGGAACTTTTATGTGCCCAAACCAAAGCTTGTGAAACACAGTAGCCGCTGACATATAATCTTTCTCTGGAAGACCTTGGCCTTAAGCTACAATTTGAGTGTGTGTGCCTGTGGGGAAAACAAGTATCTGGCAAACAGTAAAAAAGCAAAGGAGACAAAGGAAGGCCAATAACAGTTATACAAACTGACGTAAAATACAAAAGTCGCAGTGATATCAAAATAATCCCCCAATAAAATAACAACACATGCGTTTTTCATTGGTTTTCTGGAGGTTGATGGGCTGTCGTTCTTTATGTTAATTATGTAGCTCACAATAATTATTTTTACTGCTTCCATTTATTATGTATATTGCAGAATATTTTATATTACATGATTTTTACCCCGCCCATCTGGCTGAGTTTCCCCAGTCACTCTGGGCAGCTCCCAATCGAGTGTTAAAAACAATACAGCATTAAATATTAAAAACTTCCCTAAACAGGGCTGCCTTCAGATGTCTTTTAAAAATAGGATAGCTGCTTATTTCCTCGACATCTGATGGGAGGGCGTTCCACAAGGTGGGCACCACTACCAAGAAGGCCCTCTGTCTGGTTCCCTGTACCTTACTTCTTGCAATGAGGGAACTGCCAGAGGCCCTCGGTGCTGGATCTCAGTGTCTGGGCTGAACGATGGGGGTGGAGGTGCTCCTTTAGGTTTACAGGACCGAGGCCGTTTAGGGCTTTAAAGGTCAGCACCAACACTTTGAATTGTGCTCAGAAACATACTGGGAGCCAATGCAGATCTCTCAGGACCGGTGTTTGGTGACTGGGAGCGGCCGCGGAGACCACATGTCTAGCTGCTGCATTCTGGATTAGTTGTAGTTTCCGGGTCACCTTCAAAGGTAGCCCTTTGCATTGCTTGGACTAGTGCATTGCAGAATTGACCTGTGCCCCCATGGACAGCTGTGAGTCCAAAGTGACTCACACCTGGTCCTTCAGGGGCACAGTTACCCCATTCAGGACCAGGGAGTCCCCCATACCCACCCACCCCCTCTCCCCCCAAAACCGGACTTCTGTCTTGTCAGGATTCAACCTCAATCTGTTAGCTGCCATCCATGCTCCAACTGCCTCCAGGCACTCACACAGGACATTCACCGCCTTCACTGGTTCTGATTTAAAAGAGAGGTAGAGCTCGGTGTAGAATTCTATACATACAGACAATGATTTAAAACACAACAATTCATCAATATTACAAATAGCAGATACATGAGATTGCTGTGATAATTATGCTGCTAAAAGATAATTGCTGTACAGAAAAATTATAAACTCACAGTATGAATTGCAGCAGGGCTAATGAATGAATATTTCTTGTGCAATATTTTGAAGGCAACAGGTTGTTGAGTTCACTTACCTAGGACTAGAAGGAACTTTGTGAATCCCTGAAGAAATTTTGCAGGAACATGACAATCCAAAATGGACCCATTATCAGGATACTTACCTTACTATCCTAGTCCTACATGCCAGGTAGTCCCAGGGGGGCCAGCTATGAATTGCCAAAGAAGAAGATTTGTGTTACCACCAAAAAGGACACTCAAAGAGGGTAGCAATTTGCATAAAATCTGCCTAAAATTCATATTTATAGACAGAAATTCAGAAATGATAATTATGATTTAAACAGAAATTCAATATGTCACCATTGTGCTAATTGTTGATGGGCAACATCCTGCTTCTTCTTCTTATGATAACCAGATTTAACCAGATTTGGATGGGACAGCCTTCTAAGAGAAGACACCTTCAAACTGACAACTGTCCTCTGAAGGCCTTTCAGAATAAAGGTGTATCCTCTGCAAAGTTGAACACAAGGCCACTCTAGGTAATCTGTCTATGAGACTCTAATAATGAAGAAGGGGTAAGGAAATGTAGTAAATGCAGGAACAAAAAGTGATGAAATCTTCAGACTTACAAAGTAGACAATTTACTATCCAATGTCTCTTCAGTACTATAACACTTTTGTAAGTTCTCAAAGAGAAACCAAAACTCTCCCCCACAATTTTAAAAAAATCTGCATGGGCCTACCAACCAGATGGTCAAAAGAGTGGTCTGAATATGTATTTTCATTTATTTTTGAGATGCTATGGAAGAAAACATCTCTGTGATAGAACTGAATCAGAATTTTCCCAGTAGAAAAGTTATATTAATAAGAGCAACAAATTGTATTTTGTGCACATTTGCGGTGGTTTCCCCCCACTCCTATGTTGTCACTACTTCATTTGACCTGTCTTGTATCCCCAGCTTGGACACCTACTGCTGCTGCAATAGCTGTATTAAATGCAGTTGAACGAGTGTCTCAGATACCTATTGGGCAGCTTATTTTTTTGTTACTGTCCAGGAGAGTTATTGGTAGTTACACACATTGATAGGTGGTCTGCACTGAAAACCTCATCAACTGGTTAGTTGTTAGCCAGTTTCCTTTGACGACTTCCCAAAGTCTGTGCAATAAACAACAAACTATTTTTGTGGTTTGTAATCTTCATACTAAAGTGATAGCATGAATGTTTTCCATCCACGTTATGCATCAGTATTAGAGAAGCCTCCTGGGCCTTTTGCTACAAATGTAAATATAATCCTAGCATTGAAATTGCATTATATTGTATGCTGCAAGCAACAAAGTGGAACAATAAGATTGTGATAGACATGGACCGTCAGTCCCTGTTATTATGGCTGCAGGTCTCTTTTCCCTTAGTAGATTCTCAAGTGTTTCGTCCACTTTGGTTTCAAATTACTCAAGAAATTGTATTTTAACCAATTCTGTGGGAAGGAGATTCTGCAGTTCAACAGGCCTCCGCCATTAGGAAATGTTCCCAGTCACCCATTATTTGCAACTTCTTTCATTTTTTGTGGTTTTAAATTGGAAGGTTCTAAAATGAAAATAATCTTTCCTCTCAGTTTTGTTCTGTGTGTTTAATGACATTGAAGTGGCTAGCTGTCATGATTTGTTCTTTCTCAATGATGTCTAGGAATTGTGCTGGATAATTCCATTTTAGTGAGGATATCAGCTGAAAGTAATCACTGGACAGTCTCAGTGGAGAGGACAAGGAAGTGATACTAAAACCACATAATTAGTAAAAGGTTAATATAAAAAGTGTATGGGGTGTTAGGGAAGGGGTAGCAACTCTGGTTGCGGGACACGTCATGCTCCTTCTGGGGTAGTTTGTCCACCTTTGGACCCCAACCTGGACTACGGCTTCCATCATGCCCATGCTGGCTGGGGCTGATGGGATGAGAACTGTAGTCCAAAACAACTGGAGTACGCCAGGTTGGAGAAGACTTCCAAAGAAGATCAGAACTGGCTCTCTTCACACCTGCTCTTGCATTCATGCTGGAGATGACCACTCTAGAAAGATTAGGGGGTAAATGTGGGCATTGGTCCATTACAAAAACATAGAAGTCAATTCCTTGCTGACCTCCAAATCCCTTTTAAGAAGAGATTACCTTCTAGAGGTGAAGCTGCCCCTGTTCCCAGGATCTAGTATGGATTTGGATCTCCCACCAGATTGGAAGAGGTCCATGCAATTCTTCTCCAGTCTAGTGGGGATGAGATCTTGTCCAGTAAGCTACAGGTATAGTGGCGAGTAGGTTTTGGGTTGTCAGTATCAGTTTCCCATCTGTAAGTGGGGAATAATAACTACCTACCACAAGGGATAATTGTTGGGATGAATGAGCTAATGATTGCAGAGCATTGGACACTAAAAATGGCACATAAATGATTAATGCTAAATAATTCTTGTTGATTGCTAGCAATTGGATTCTAGTCCAATTACTGCATTTTGGCATGCCTAAATTTTACATTTGTGTCTTCCCTTGATTAAAAGACTGAGAAATCTCTATTAGACTTAATTCTGTATTTTTATAAGATAAAAGGGATGTGCTAGT